AGCACCTGCTTCATGCAACTTACCTTGCTCAGCGATCCGGGTCTCACTGAGCGGTGCAATATCGATGTGGTAGCACGCCAGTTCCATCGTCACCAAGCAATGCGATGTCATCCGCATAATCTAAGTCGGTCGCGCGCTCACCCGGTAGTAGCTCTATGCCAAAATATTGGAAACCTTCTAGAGCATTTGACAGAACGTCTTCGATTGCGAAGTTGAGGAGGAATGGGGACATAGGGGATCCCTGTCGCACACCGTTCTTGACAAAGCATTGCGAGGAATGGTTGCCATATTGCCTCACTCTGCCGGATGTACGAATTTGAAGTGCTCGTGAGATGGCGGTATATTTCTCTGGCATCCCGTTCTTTTACAGGCAACGTCATAATGCAGGTCGATCAACGGAGTCAAAAGCGGCACGTATGTCTAGGAATGCAACGATAGTGGGCCTATGATAAATGTGGCGATGTTCGGTTAGCTTGCGGAGCGTGAAGATTTAATCCACGCATCCGCGGCCGGAACGGAAACCAGCTTGTTCTTCATGGTAGTATGATTCATGTGTTGGGGATTGTCTGCGAAGCAGAATGGATGCCAATAGCTTGGAGGCAACCGAAATAACTCTGATCCCGCGATGATTTACACATGCAGTGCGAGCGACTTTCTTGAAAATCGTGACAATAACTGATTCACCCCAAGAGGAAGGCATTTTCTTTTCATGCCTTATTTTTAACGCTGCTTGTCCTTTTTTGGTCACGGCACCAGTGTAGCGAGAACGACAAGACAGGGGGGTAGACGTTTATTGCACACCGAAAAATGGCACATGAGGGTCTCACGCGCGCCATCGAATATCGACTAGATTTCCGTCCCACCACGCAACACAGGTACGGATGTTAGAAGCGAGCCAGTCCTTTCGCCTCGGGAGCTCTGACTTGGAAGACCCGCCTTCCTGTTTTCGCCTCGATCTCCGCTTCTCTGTACCCGATTTGGATCGGCCAGGAGTCGTTCGAGAGCTCTCGACTTGCTTGTTCTGGGCTGTGTCAATCGGCTCGGCCTCGGTCCTGTGGTCTGCGCTATCGGCGTATTTGTCTGATTTATTGCGCTGTCCACATATTCCCGCTCCGTAGTTCCGGGCCCAGGCTCGTCGCTAGCCGTCTTTCGCGATCCGCTCTCAGCTAGCTCCGAAGAGCTCCCCAGAGCCATTTTTGGAAGCGGCCCCTCTACACAATTAGGACGCTTACAGTTTGCGCACCCGATGGTCTCCTCGGCAGCAGTTGTCACCTGGTCGCGAATGTGTTGCCACAGGTCGCCCACTGTTGCTATGTCTTCCACATCACACAGGCGTGCAGCCATTGCCTTCTCTAACTCAGTACTTTTCGCCACAGTACCGAGGGAGAGAATGTTAAATTTACGCTGATTCACGGCAATAAATAGATTATCGACAATATATGTGCGGTTTGGTCTGCACCAATTTGTGGTCAGTGCCACACTCAGCTCCACGCAGCACATATGTCACGCTGACCTACGGTGACATAGTCGAGCAGGTGAGGATGACCACTCCGTGGGTGCGTCCAAGTTGCTATATCACTCTCACTCAGTTCAAACCGAGTGTTCATGCTCGTCAGGCTGTGAGTGGCACACAGTGAGCGCAGCCTGTCACCGTTCGCATTCGCTGAACCAATGCCATGCGAACCGATAACATCTGTCCACACCGATGCGTCACGCCCAACGCGGGCGTTGAAATCACCCAGCAGAACTAGTCGGTCGCTCCTCGGCACAGACCGTATCACGGAGGATAGCTCAGTGTAGAACTGATCACGCGTTTCATCAGGATACAACTTGGTCGAACCGCACGTGCTTATAAAAGTGACAACCTTACTGCTTCCGAGTCGTAGGCGAACAGTCATCAGTCGCACACTGATGCCCGTTGGTTCACTCACCAGCAGGCCATGGAGGCGATCGGATATTGCAAATCCGACCCCATGATCACGTGTTGCTGAGGTGGCGGTGCCCACCCAGTAGAATGTGTAGCCAGCACCTGCTTCATGCAACTTACCTTGCTCAGCGAGCCGGGTCTCACTGAGCGGTGCAATATTGAGGTGGTAGCACGCCAGTTCCATCGTCACCAAGTTATGCAATGTCATCAGCATAATCTAAGTCGGTCGCGCGCTCACCCGGTAGTAGCTCTATGCCAAAATGTTGGAAACCTTCTAGAGCATTCAACAGAACGTCTTCGATTGCGAAATTGAAGAGGAATGGGGACATAGGGTTTCCCTGTCACACACCGCTATTGACAGCGAATTGCGAGGAATACTTGCCATATAGCCTCACTCTGCCGGATGTACGAATTTAAAGTGTTCGCGAGATGGGGGTATATTTCTCTGGCATCCCGTTCTTTTGCAGGCAACGCCATAATGCTGGTCGATCAACGGAGTCAAAAGCGGCACGTATCTCTAGGAATGCAACGATAGTGGGCCTATGATAAATGTGGCGATGTTCGATTAGCTTGCGGAGGGTGAAGATTTGATCCACGCATCCACGGCCGGGACGGAAACCAGCTTGTTCTTCATGGTAGTATGATTCACGTGTTGGGGATAGTCTGTGAGGCAAAATGGATGCCAATAGCTTGGAGGCAACCGAAATAACTCTGATCCCGCGATGATTTACACATGCAGTGCGAGCGCTTCTCATGAAAATCGGGACAATAACTGATTCACCCTAAGAGGAAGGCATTTTCTTTTCATGCCTTATTTTTAAGAACAGCGCGGTCAGCTGGTTAATGATCGCCATGTCGCCTTACTTGAACAGCTCCGGGGGAAGTCCGTCTGAGCCGGTAGCCTTGAAGCGCTTCAAGCGTCGAATCTCCAGGCAGACTTCCGCTTCACTGATTGGATTCAGTGGGACGAGCCAGGGTGGACCACAAGGTGTACTGCATGTACTGGATGATGGAGGCCAGTTGAATTGCGAGTGAAACTGCTCGGCCTAGCGGTGCATGCGCCTCTGTTGCTTGATGATCGGAGACTCATCAACCTCACAAATGACCTCACTGACACCAGGCTTCCTAATACCAGTTGACCGAATGAGTTGGAAAAGCCTGTGAGTCTTGCCAGAGAGAACAGCGGTCTCCATCTCTAAAGCACGCTCAGACTACCATGTCTCACGATCCTTGCGTAGGCTTTGCTTTAGCATCCGGTTGGCAGAACGGCGCCGCTCGTTGCAATCTGATTCCGCAGGGATATCTTTGCAGCGTTCGAACAGCTCCAGAGAACGAGCAGAGATCCAAGCCTTTAGGGGGCGTCGAGTTAGGCCGCAGTTTGACTGTCCGGAAATGGTCATCGCTTTCCGTATACAAGTCCAGTGTTGCTCCACGTCTTGCGGTGGATTGCAACTGAGTGCATATGCCAGTGAAGACTGACAGCTCGCCTGGACAGAGGAATCAGTTAATCTGTTTACATCAATCTTGCGATGCTTCGTGTTTCGGGACCCCCCGGAAAACATAAGATTTTCGCGCAGACCAGTGCATGATCTGAGTCAACGAAGATGGACCCAAAACATCTACAGTCCAGTACGCTGCCATGCCATCTGAAGCTAATTGCAATGTGATCAATTTGATCCCACGGATGTGTTGGTGAAGAGGGACGCCACGTTGTGGAACGCTTTCGTACGCCTGAACTTAGTGCTCTAGAGAAACAGATGGTTGTCTTCGCACAACGTGAAAAGCCTCTCTCCGTTATCAGAGCGGTTCTGATCGAGTGCGTGATGACCACCAAGGTGGCGTCCGTATGATAACAGGCGGCCAACCCGTGCATCAAAATCCCCAACAAGGATAACCACATCCAACTATTTAGAATTAGTCAAGAGCTGATGTAGATCCCGGTAGAATTCGTCCTTGACCGAGTCGCCACTGCAGTCAGTTGGAGCGTACACGGAGATCACAAACAAGTTGCGTCTCTCCTCGCGGTGCTTGTTGATTCTACATGAACCCCGAAACCGAACTGCACATAGTCGACTGTTAATCGGGAACCAGTCCAGTAGTGCCACATCGGCTTTGCCACTTAGTCCTGTACCTACACCAGCCAAACCCACTGAGGCTGCTTCTGGATCTTCAGAAAGACGCAGGTGATATCTGGCTTCGTGGTCACTGGGGGATGTCACTGTAAGCACAGTGCTGGGATCTTGCAACCGGATTTCTGTGAGGCAGCAGACATCAATGTCTAGGGAATCTAGGGTGCGTGCTAGACCGGCTTGCTGTCCATTCTGCACGAGTGTACGAACGTTGAAGCAGGCCAAACGGAACGAGGATCGGGGACAAAGGAGAGCCATAGGTTGAAGTCCTTGGTCCGGAATCGCAGCCAGATTGTTGAACACGTGAATCGGGTAACGGAAAGTGAGGATTGTTAGCAAACAAACACTTGGCGTGTGATGAAGTCGCCTAAATGTGAGAATCAGAAATAGTAGCTGATGAGCACGTTGTAGTGCAGTCCATGGTTTTGTGAGAGGGCGTGATACTACCCGGTTGCCCAAGCCGAAGTAGGGAGTTGACTTAGGGGACTTCACCCCGAGCCTTTGGCTAAATAACCTACGCGCAAGGCAGCGGGGCGAATTTAAGGAATCGCGCCCATTGGGAGGCGCTGACTGAATGTTCAGTTCATGCGTCTTTATTTGGTAGTTCACAAAATAGGGGCCCAATACTCCCCATGAAATCAGCACAATTGCTGGAATACAATGCCCCACCGAGGTGGAACATTGTCGTCGAAAACTTTGCTGGAACGGGGTACACCTGAACCACCCAGCTGACACCACGAGGAGGTAGTTTGGCAAGACTACTGATATTACTACTAATGCTGCTACTCCTAGTGATATCCTTCACACCAGGTTGGCGATTTTTCTTAGCCTATCCAGTTAGCGTAACAGATTCGGAGATTGGCTCAGCCTTTCCTAATCATCCATTCACCAGTATCTACTCTCTCTCTCTCTCTCTCTCTCTCTCTCCCTCTAACACTGTCCAGTTTATTTGAAACTATCACCCATTTGAAAGAGCGACTAAAGAAGTTTCATGTCCGCCCTGATTTGTCCCTCGAGGAAAACGCATGTAAGCTTTTTAGTTGAATTCCTATTTTGTTTCCCTGATCCCATCATTTCGATCCTAGACATACAAATATTGCGCTGACCTGACGGAACTTGACAACGTAATATTTATAGAAAACAACATGCACTGGCAAGTATATCCACTTTGTCACTTTCGTGCCACAGCAACTGAAGCAAAACCTAATCCGATGCCTTACTCGACGAGCAATGAAAATTTGCTCGGAAGATACGATGGCACAGGAACGTTTAAAAATACTGGGTTCATTTCTTAACAATGGCTACTCTGAGGTGTTTACATACCTAGTGTAGAAAAGAAGAACGTGTATCTATTTTTGTTTTTCACTGACGATTATACAGCCAGACTTATTAGTAGAAGACTCCGAAGTCCTATCAGGGGCACCTATTTCGCAGGGCAGCTAAGAATCATCTTCGCTTCCACACCTGTGTTAATTCTACAACTGAAGAATAGACTGTCTGTGGATGACACCTCTTTGTGTGTATATCAGTTTACTTGTTCTCATGGGACAAGCCACATAGACCGCACCACAAGACGTTTAGTCGAACGTGCACGAGAGCATCACCCAACGTGATTTGATCGGGAAGTAGACAAAACTTGTATCACTGAGATTGTCGCATATCTGGCCGATACCAATCCTCGGTTGTGATCACAAAGGCCTTCCGCCCGATGTATCGCGTGAGAGGAGTCCGATCTAAACTGATCACATGCCGCGTACTTGCAATGGCAGAGGCGATCGCCATCCGTCTTCACCACTCTCCTTTATGTGTGCACAAACAATTTGTGATGATCCTGACTCTTCCCTGGCCAGCTGTCGCACACTCAATCGTGTGAACTAGTCGAAACATGACCGTCACGTCTACCTCTCACTCCACGCCTAATACGTGTTAGCTAATTAAATGTGTTGTACTTAGCCTGATGCGGAATCACCGAAAACGCGCTTTTTTACTATGCTAACTTTTCATTGACATAGTCTATGTTTGGCTGCATTTCAATATAGCCTTCTCGGTTGCGGATTTCTCACTACGCTCTGTTTGTCTCGCCACACCTAACCACTTTCTTTTCCAGACTTGACTGGTACATGTCAAAATCTGACCGGTGACTGCAAACAGCTTGGGATCAGTAAAAGCCCACCAGTTAATGTGATAACCACTTTGTCATCCAAGATGTCAAGTCTGTCCGGTTGCTTGGATTTCCCATCGCCCTCGGCACTCGGATCAACTGTAAGGCGTGGCCGTCCGACTACTAACGCCACTGACGTGACTGTCGCCTGCCACAAGCATGAAGGTGAAACCGTCGCTACCCAATTCACTTCCTCGGCGTCAGTCCCCAATTCTCTGTCTTCCTGTGTCGTTGCTCAAGCGGATTCACATTGCTCACCGCAAATTGTGGGTTCTAACACATTACTGAGTCGAATAGATGCCAAATATACCCATTGCTCCTGTTTCCCAGCCGAACAGTCATTGTGCGACTGTGCGCTGGCAAGTATTATCGTGCAAAGGAATTTGCTCAAATGTTCTCATCAGGTGAGATGCGAGCTTTCCCGAATGTCCACATCGATTCATTTGTTTACCATGCTCTGTACATCAAATCGGATGTCACTGTTACCTGCAGTCCGGCCGTTTCATCCCAAGAAAAGGAGCACTATTCTTGTGCATCGAGTGATGATGGGGATGGGCGCAGCACAGAGTTATCTTTGGCACTTAGGTCAGAATTGTGGGTTTCCGCAGGCGGTCGCTTTTTGTGCATTATCATTATCACCTTAATTAACTGACATCAGTTCAAGCTGACCCCAAAAATATTCGTTACGGCGCAGTCAATCGGGCTAACTTGTGTTACGAGGAAACTCAGTCGTGGATCCCGATCACATACTCCTCAATCTTTTTTCCTGGGATTTACACCGGATAAGGATGAATCTTTGGGTGACGCGATTGATGTGTTTCATAGGCCTCCCTTGATCTGTATGCATAAAAGCACATCCGCTAGATGTTTCCGCTTACGGTGGCACCGGCCGTCGACCCGAGAGAGGGGAATCGCGATCCTTTACTAGCCTGATTCGATGGGACCAAATTGAGTTCTCATGTTCTTGTTACTTTCTCAGCTTCGGTCAGATTAGTAGATCCGCTTGCTCAACAATTAGTTCCCGGCAGTAGTGGAATCATCGAGAAACGTGGCAAAGGGTTAAAGTCCTCCGATGAAATTGATAGAAGCGTCCACCGGATGACTTTTCTCGCTCTGTTTAACAGGCCAGTTTTCATCATATATTACTTTGTACAAAACAGATTTTCCCTCTTTATTCTTGTCGAATTCAGTTTCTTTTGCGATTCTGAATTTGTCTATTGTGTTTTGGTGTCGTGTCCCTAGATTTTACTGTGGTATTTCTATCTTGTACTCATTATTCAATTTGTCACATTTACCGTCACATATGCTAAGCTATCCGCAATGGCGAAGCTGACTCCCCGTCGCACTTGTTGCAAAATAGTTGGGCATAGAGCAGTCCTGTTACAAGCTTTCTGTGCCGTGTGAATTTCCACATTTCGTGTATTGGTTTGTCTTTAGAGCATTTTAAACTACTGCGTGAAATCCAGCATGACCTTGTCCAAATATTGTACAAGGAATGCCAAACCACTGTGCAGCCACGAACTGCCGAGAAGCCAGGCGAGCCTACAAGAGGGGCGACACGTTCCATAAGAAGGAGCTCCATGGGTTCAAACAAGCAAGCGGAAACCCAGCTACCTCTATGTTGGAACGAGCCCACCTGCGCACCGGCTGCAGGCTGTCCAGAGCGATGTCCACTCGTTGCTGGAGCCTCAACTGGCGTGCCTATGTTGCATCTTACGGATACTGTCATACCGGTGTGCGATAGCGCAGGCGATGAAGGTCCATGGAGAATGCAGCGAAGCAAAAAGGAGAGGACAACTGCCAACAATTAGCGGGGTTGTGACCTTATGCTATTCCTCGTGCCTGAGTCGACAGATGCTAGTCTTCAGACTCGTTATGACCACGACGTAGATTTTCTACAGAGCTTGTTTGATAGGCTACTTGACGTGAATGTACAGTAGTTGCGGGTGAAGCACATTACCCGTTTTGGAAAGAGAGAGGAAGAGAAGTCCCGGCCTTTTCGGGTCACGTTTTTTGCTAAAACGCGTCCGTGGCTGATACTCTCCCGCCTCAGTGGGCTAAGGAGGTCTAAAGGTCCATATTTGTCCCGATTTGGATCCGTCGGACAGAGAGAAACTGAAGTTCACTATCGTGGGATTGACGCGGTGGACTTATGATGGAGAAACCGATCTCCACATTTTAAATTTTCGACTTGTTCCCCGGGTCCGCCGAACCCGGATTAACAGATAGATGACGCTTCATGCGCATCTGCCGGTTCCTACCGCAGCCTGCGCATAGCCTTCACAAATGTTTGTAATTTAATGTACAAACGTGACGATGTATTTCACCTCGTTGCTACACGTTATCCGGATATACTAGGACTGACCGAAACCTGGCTAAATCCTGAGGTCCCTTCCCAAGAATTCCAGATCAGTGGCTACTCGTACTTCCGCTGCGACAGACTATCAAACACACCGAGGCGACGTGCTGGCATACCTTCGGCCCTCGCTGTGCAGGAGACTGGTACACACCTACCGTAGCGAAGATGCCTTGTGCGAACAGTTATGGTGTTCAATCCGCCTGAGACGGTGAATTGTTGTGAGTACGGCTTATCGCAGCCCGCAAAGTCGATGCCTGGATTGGTTGCCGCATCTCAGAAACTACATAAGTCAGCCCCGCTTCCTGCTTATGGGCGACTTTTACTACCCTCGAATACGGTGGCCTGAGGTTCAATTTCTCCCCGGGCACTGTGAAATCGAGGCGCAGTTTGTGGAGATGGTATTTGAAACTGGGGCTGCACAACAAGCCTTCCAATCGATGCGCGTTACACCGGATTCTGCTCCATCATGCCTGGAGCTATTACTAACGAGTTGCGAGCAATTGTATATGCAATTCAGGTCCTGGAGCCTCTGGCAGCTAGTGACCACTCAATGGTGTTAGCCAGCCTAGAGCTGCCGCTGCCCTACTCGCGTCCGCCGGAGCCCTCCTACAATTATTGAAAGACGGTTTTCGCTGGTCTCAATCGAACCTCCAATGAAGCAGACGGGTCGCTGCCGCAACATTCATCTGTTGAAGCCTGTTGGTCTGTAATAAAAGTGGGTGCGCGATCGTTGTGCGCTCATTTCGTACCCCTCCTGTATCGGAAAGCTGGACCAGTGAAAGCACATTAGTTCGACAGAGAGTATAGTCAGTTGGCTTGACGGCGACGCGTATTGTGGAATAAATGCCTCGTGTCTGGCTCTGCCAACGATTATGAGGCGTACGAATGGCAACGGAATCTATGCAACAGCGCGAAAACGTCGGCAGTTCGAAGAGGAGCTTGCAACCTCAGCAAGGACGGCCCCCAAGAAGATTTTCGCTTACATGAAGCGGCGCCTAAGCCCGCAAGTGAAGTAGCTGTGTTAGAGGGCACTTACGGCTAGCCTCTGACTTCCGGCACTGAACGTGCGTCCGCTTGGGCAGAGCACTTCGCTTCCGTAGTTACAAGTGGACATACGCCTATGCCGAACTCGAGGGCCTTGATTGCGGTGTAGAAGATGTCCGCAGTTTACTCGTCAGTCTTGACAGCACAAACCTGCCGGACCCGATGGACTACACCTGCTAATTTTAACGTTCTTATCGTCCATCATCTCGCCTGCTCTGACCAATCGGTTTAACAGATCGCTGCTCGAAGGTCCAGTACCGAGCGATTGGAAATGCTCGGTAGTGAAGCCGATTCCGAAAGGCGATGATCCACGCAATGTGGACATTTACCAGCCGATTTGTCTCAACTCTGTGTTGGCGGTGGTGCTCGAGAAGATTGTGAAAAAGGGTTTTCTTTAGCTGCTGGAGTCGAAAGATCTCTTAACACCGGCACAGCACGAATTCATGAAGGGCCGCTCGTGCATCACCAACTTGCTGTTGACGCGGCAGGATTGGTTGCAAGCGTTGAATCGGGGGAAGTCAGTAGATATTATCTACATTGATTTCAGTAGAGCTTTTGATAAAGTGAACCATGAGATCCTGCTCCACAAGTTGAGATGTGTGGTGTTGGTTGCGCACTGCACCAGTGGATCAGTGACTTCTTTATTGGGGGAAGATGGCGGGTTCAGGTGGATGACCACCTAACGGAATGTTGCTCCTCCAGTAGCGGTGTACCCCAGGGCAGAGTACCGGGGGCCATTTTGTTCCTGATCCACATAAACGAAATACCTCAGCTTCTTCGTCGCCCTGCGCATTATTTGCAGACGACCTGAAGATTTGGAGGATTATCGATTCTCCCGGCGACTGTCGCGTCCTTCAGCAGGACCTCGATCGCCTATCCCCGTAGCCTGCAGAAGTTGACCTACCGGTCAACCCGGCCAAGTCCTCGTTTATGGGCCTGGGTAGGGGTGGTAGTGGGCGTGCGTACACCCTAACCGGCCACCCTCTGCATCCCACCAGTTCTGCAAAGCATCTAGGCGTACTCTCACTGTGATCCGAAGTCTGTCGACAACACGAGCAGACTGTACTCAAACGGACTACGCCTACTTTGGGCACTTAGACGCAGCTTCTGCACTTAGTTTGCAAAGATTGCCACTCGTCTGTTCTCTTCCATGATAAGACTTGTGCTTGAGTACGGCTCACCTACCTATTGTCCGATCACAATAGGTGAGGTGCATAGACTGGAATGGGTCCAGCATGTAGCTACCTGGCTCATCTTCACTTTACGGGGTATGTGGTACGAGGACCGATGTAGGAGACTATGGCTGTATGCCCTGTCACATCGTCGGCTTCGAGTTGATCTCATTATGACCCACCGGATACTTGGCCTGGGCCACTTCCCTATGTTGAGGCCGCTGCTGCACATACACGTACCAAGCGGCATACGCTGACACCGGTACCAACTAGTGATACCGGATTTAAAGCGCATCGCTCATCCTCTATGCTTCGAGCGTCTAGTGATGAAATATTGAAACATGTTGCTGGAGACGTTAGTCGAGGTAAAATCGGTGCCGGAAGTTAAGAGATTCCTTGACGCCCACTTTTCGGACTACAGGTATAGGGAGCGTATCGCACCCAGATAAGATGTGGTGCAGCTGCAATATACTGCCACCGCGTGGGCATCAGCAACGTGATTCCGCGCATGTGCCCAATTCACCTACGATAGAGCAACACAGATTTTTATCTTCTCGCTCTCTGCTTTCAGTATTCAGGTCATGCAAAGGTTTGCTTACTACTTAGCTTCTGGCCAATGATGTCAACTCAGTGACTTCTGCTTGCGGAAGCGAAGTACACCTAATCCATTCAGTTATTCGTCCGGTTATCCGCTGCCCCCAATGATTCCCTTGATCAAGTCACAGCTTTACGGATAACGCATTCTGCATTAGGACTGGAGTTGCTGTAAGTCTTGGCTCATTGTCTTACAACGACGCATACGGTTCGATAGTACAACCTCTATTGCCACAGATGTTGGTGTTAAACCGAGATCACATGTTTTGCGACTTGAAGAGGGTATGCATCTTTGCTTTCACTATTTCACAATAAATGCAGCAACATTCCACCCTTTTGTTCACTGACGAAATGCATGTTGAGCAAAACGTCAGTTCGGCTACGTTATCTTAGATTTTGCCTTGGAGCCCGGAAATTACCGCTCTCATTTCACTTTACGATTGGTGGCCGTTGGCTTCCCAGTATCTCTTTCGACTTGTCCCCACGTCAGCGACTGGAAACCTTACTCTACTAGGTTCGTTTGAGGGCTTATCGGTGTTCTTGCATAGGGTCTCGCTCCCAGCGGTTAACCTGTCTTGTAGGCGGCTATGGCTTACCTCCTTCTGTCTCCCTCTTTGTTTTCGTTCGCATTTTTCATTTTCATATTTCGCTATTTCTTGTTATCATCATGGTGCGAGGGAAAGCAAAGGGGGCCAGTTATGCCCTTGAACTGTTTCCGGTTCTCTCATTTCGTCAATAACCTCATGTCCACTTGGCGCGAATACGAGCTTATACACTAGTCAATTTAGTTTGAATCGTTACATTAACCTAACAATTAGCGTTGTGAAGGCCCTTGCGGATACGTGGTACCGTGCGAGAATGCTCGGGCTGTAAACTGCCCATTATTTGTTCTCCTGCTTGGAGCCTTTTGTGTTGCCTACTAGGATGTCCTTCGGAAATCTGGCGTAATGACGGTCTGGCGTCCATTGTCGGTTCTCTTTGACATCACATGCGCCTCTTATGTTGGGTTCCAACTTAGTGCATGACTCACTAAATGTGCTTGGATTCGATCCTCTCTTATTTTTGCGCCACGAAACACACCTCATTAAATGTACTTCCTGTCCCGGGATAGGTTTTGCTCGTGTTGAAGACACAACACCATCGGACTACGCCCCAGTATCATGTCCACTGATTCCCACCAATGGACTGCATTAAGTAGAGTGTCTGTTCGATGATTCTCACCTGGGCAATATGAGTTGACAACATTGTATTTCACCCTTAAGTTGTAGACCCTCTTCGGTGTGGTATGCAACCAGTACCACCACCAGCATACTATTTACCTTATCGAGTTATTTTTTTCGCAGCTGCTATTTACGGACTCGGCTTCTTGTCTCTGGTCTCCTCATCTGTTTCACGGACATTTCGAGAGAACCGGACTTGATTTCCTTAAAGTCTAAACCGATATCCCTGGCTTTCAGCCACATTCCAAACTCTCCAGTGAGACACATTGTGGTCATTTTAATAATAATTGTGTGTAGTAATAACAACACTGGAGGCAATGGTGTCGAACGTGGGATGAAGAGTTATAGTCTGTTTGGACGCCACATCTAGAATTACCTCGCTCATTACTCCGTTCACACTGCAGTTAGAAGGGCTACATGTACCCACACAACTGTAGTCAATGACCTCCTATGCTATGTCATCTGGCCACTCTGTTACTTCATCCAAGCTAGATTAGTATTCCTAACCATTGGATGCCCACCTTGGCATTCCATTCACTTGTCCTCGCCAACGTGTTCAACAACTCATCTGACCCGGTGCCAGAGCACTTGTCGTGCATCGTCAACCGACGAATCTCAGCGTTCCTCACTAGGCGGACCTGCTAGATATGGATGATGCTTTACAGGTATCCATGATCAAAGATAGTCTTTATGTGTTCAAGCGATTACTCGTGTGGTTATCTCTGCAGCGCACAACTCGTTGGCTGGTCGGGTTTTATAATTTAGTGTAAATTGCCTCCCTGCATACTATGGTCATTAAAGAATATCGATAGCATGCTGTTATCGATAACCGGAATCGATAGGACTGTTTGTTTTGCGTTCTTTTTTGTTGCCATGCCCAGTACCACTGACGTCAGTACAGATTGTTCAACGGCAAAACTCTTTGACTTCTCTTGTGGTTCCTTTTCAACGGTTGATATCCTTGATGGGAATTGCCATTATCGAATCAGCTCTTATACTTTTCAGACGGTGACAAACGTTAGATGATGATACCTAGTAGTATGTTGATGGTAACAATATTTAACTCCACCCCTTTTGCTTCATGTTCTTCAAACGAACTCTGTAGGGTTTCTTCGATGGTATAATCGATTTTGGTGAACTAGTCCGGACGCCCTTATCTTATACCAAGGTATACCGGCTCTGCAGCTTATGTGGATCGTTTGGTGACTTTTCTCAACTCTACCAGTGGTTCATACCGGACAGTCATCTACTAGGGAAAGTTGAATCTAATCCGCTACCGCAGTGTTCGGCCTGCTACTGCACTGTAACGACGTTTACTTTCATTCAAAACGACACAACCTTTGTTGCTTAAGTGACTGATGCATCGGAATGCTGGTTACCTGTGGGACTGGGATCGACTCTGGTTGACGTCCGAAAAACCTAATCTGTCAGATTACCTGGATATGCATTGGTCTCCGGTGTCTGCGTTTCTGTTTGGAAGAGGTTACTTTGCAGTAAAAATATAATGAGTGACCTATCAGTACGTCAGAACCAGAGTATCGTTATCCCAGTGCGATACATTAGACCGACTAACCACTATTCAACTGCGGATACCTCTCACTGTTATGTGGCTTCATCCCTGTTAGTAGGGCATGTGAACCGATTACATGACGTCTTACAAGGCCCAGTGAACACTTTCAGCCGGTCTTTTCACGGATCGCAAAGCATCGAATGAACTGAGGTGCTGCGTTTTCTCACTATTTGGCTACTCGTGAGCCTTTGTCCATTTAACTGCAGGATTCCACCGTGACCAACTCGGTTATAAGTAAGCGTTGGTTTTGCTTTCATTGGGACTACTTTCGGTACGCATACTCAACCAATGTTTTACTAGCCGTTCATTTTTCGCTTCATACACCAACGTCGGCCGGTGGCCGAGTGGTTGGCACGTCTGCTTTCCAACCATAAGGTCACCGGTTCGAATCCGCGTAGGGGTGTGCGTCCTCGCGGTATACTCAGCCCGCGCGCGACTGGTGGTGGTCGCGCGGCAGCGAAGCGCCGTTACGGCGTATAAGCTGACACATTTCATTTCATTTCATACACCAACCGGCGCTAGTCCTTCTAACTCTCTGAAGCGTTTATCCCCAGTTTCCTCCTCATCATCAGTGTCTTTCGGGCAAACAAGCTCACCCGCATCCACTAGAGGTCTCATGCCTATTGTCGCCTTTATTCCACCAGCTTAAGTCGAATGCAGCTCATCTACATGGTCAGACTAACACGGTCTGTCTTTTTTAGTTGGACCGAAGAACACTAGCTGGGCTCATGTAAGCAAAGGGGATTTGCTTGTGATTTATGTAAACCGTTGCATTTTGGAAAATTTACGAACCTATTTGGGAAAACCCACCTAGCGTCGATCATCTTCCATCATTTGCTTGTACCGTACTTTTTAGAAATTTCGTTGATTTACCCCCTCCAATAAGTGCTCGCATCCACGCTGGCCTCTGAACGACAATTATCTCTGACTTCTAATCCACCTACCACTGTACTGTTAGTTGATGCTCGAAAGTGTTTTTATCTCTTGTCGTCCAAGTTGGGCTTCGTCCACCTAATGCATAGAACTCGATACAGCTTGAGAGAAAGAGCAACTTACCACTCACTAGGTTATTTGCACGATTATTGAGCGCTTGCCACAAAGTGGTTGACCGATTTGACAATGAGATGGTCGCGTGCCGTTGTGAGATATTGCATTCCATTCATCACTACGGTTAGTTCGTTAAATCATCATCGTGTACGATAAACAATTGCAAAGCCATTTTTCATCCCTACTATCAGCCTCTGTACGTTTCTGACCTTCAAACGAGCTTTTGGATTCGACAGTTTGTGTTTTTACAATTCTGTGTTTTACAATCCTGCTATGAAAACCATCCATATTTTACAAAACTATTTTTATCCAATTTTAAACTACCTTTTAACTCCGCCATTCAACGCCACCCTCCTGGTTCTTGTGTTTAATCATGTGACCTGGAAGCTTTCGACGAAAAAGCGACGGGTTCGGGATTTGAAAATCACCATTAATGCCTACAAAATCGCTTTGGAGAGTGAATTCGGACGAAACCAGGCCATGGTTGAGGCGTTCTCCTCTGTGCTCTCTAGCGTTCGGGCCGATATATCCTCCGGTGAGCACGGTCAACCGATATTTCAGTTCTTGCCGTCACAATCTGAACGCTGATTCTTTGGACTCAGTGCTGTATTTATCCGACCCCGTCGGTTTCACTGATTTATGTACGCATGTATATGATGCGGATTTCATCCTATTTCATTGAACCATTTTATTGAGATGTCAGTAACTTCTGTGCTGTGTTTGGCTTCTAACCAATCGCTGCATGCGGATTGGCTCTCTACTTGCTCATTTGAAACGATCTCATCGCTTACCGAACCAGTTATACTTGATGCCATGCACCGTTAGTGTTTTCACTACTCACTTACAACTTGCCTCATTCTGGATTTTTTTGTCTTTTGATTGGTGCCCAAACAGTCGTCTGCTGTTGCCCAATTTCCAAATGCTTATGATTTGTATGATTTATGTTTCCCATCATGCTGATCACAATTTTATAATTATATTACACCAGTAAGACCACAGAAAGGAACAAATGCATTAAAATAGAACAAAGGCTGCAGCGGATTTTATAGACCAAAAGTAACAGTCCAAGACTCATCTAAAGTAATACAGCCATTCGTGGAACCCTCGTTTTCACCATAACAACAGATTGGCTCCATCCTACTACCGAGCGCTGTTTTCTCTCCCCTTCCCATCGAGAAGGCCTCCGTGTCATCATCAAGTTTGACAGGGATATCACTCGCTGTATGACCTGTGATCAGGGCTGCCATCTGATGGCAAATGTAGTTGCTTGTTCAGGCGATGCTATCCACTTCGTGAAGGTATCAGCCGCCCCAGTTCCGATATGTTACGTTCACCCTCTGTGAGTACTGTCCAGGTGGCGGTATGCCGCTGCCCCCGGTTGCTCAGCTGCGACTTATACGTGTTGGTTGGACAGCCGATGTTCATACCCACACGCCTCCGACCTATTTGCCCCGAATCTGTATACTTCATATTTATGACAGGCCGTCAACCATCGTTTCCTTCGAAGCATTGCTTGTGTCACTTGGCATCAGACTGTCCTCAGCGTTAGAGGGTGCAGACCGTGCTGATCAGTCTCACCCAGGAAACAGCTCATAGTATTGAATAACTTTCGTGAACCAGTCATCGTGCTGCTTGTCCCCGCCCGCTGTTCACTGAGGTGCGTCTTCTTGTGTTTGCCGGATCTGGGATTGTGTCTGGCTTGAGGAGACGCAGCTGAAAATCTGATCACATACTAACAGGTTGGATGCAGTTAGTCCATATCGCCTTTAAGGCGAGAGTCCACGCGATTAACGTTGTGCTTGACTCAAAACCTTGACCTAGTTCGCATTCGACATCGTTCACTTTTGCAGCAGTCTCTCTACTCTGACTATCTGTTTCAAAGATGTAAGCTACTGGGTTATTGTTGCGGACCCCTTCAAATATCCCCGCAAAAACACCACAAACTCCGGCGTAATGGCTATGGAAAACGGAGTTCAATTCCTCCCCCCAGCTTAGCAGATTTCAGCCACTCAGAGAGGCGGCACATGTTGACAATATTCTACAAACTACCACCCCATCGCGGTAGCTATTTTCACTAACTTAATGACCCATAGTACTGGCTGTGATTCGCCCTTTGTTGGCCGTAAAAGAGCCTTCAGAGGACCACTTTTCTTGCTTTCTCTTCGCCGTTAGTCGGGATCGGTTCGGTCACGTGATTTTTGTGTGCTTCGATAGCCGGGTAGCGTTTGCGTCTAAGCCACTAGTGCAGTCCACCGTCACCCCCTCCTGTGCGTAGCCTCGTCCGTTACGAGGGCTCAGCGTCTACCAGATTACTTGTGGCTGGGAACGTTCTCACGCTAGCGCGACTTTCCGCCTCATCAGCACGTACCCCGGGCTAAGCCAACGCCATCGCGTCAGCGCAAATCTGTTCGGTCGGCCAGCGTTCCAAGCTGTTATCGTAGGCGTCCTCAAACCGTACCAGTGACAATTGTAACAGGCTCGAATTCTTAACAGAGGCGTTCTTATCTTAACGGTTATCCACGGAGCTAGGTCGACTATGGTGCAGGACATCAAAAGACGTAAGGAAACTGTCCACATCGCATCTTCACTCGAGCGCCAGCTATTTGTGACTACGTGTTGATTGGCGTGTCTCCATAGAGACAAATGTGTTGCCGCTAAGATTTGGTAAATTAGTTCGAAATCGTAATGTCACCTCTCTCGTGGAAATACTGTTTCGGTCACCTTAGTCGTTCATTTAATTCTAGGTGGGCATCACTCCACTCCCTAATAGGGAGCTCCAGCCTAAAATGTCATCAGTATGATCTCAGGAGCCCTACGTGAAGGCTCTCTCCCGCTGTTACTGGAAGCGTTGGCTTATCTCTGAATGGTTCGTTCATCCGCGCTGCTTGAAACAATCTTACATTTTGTTGCTGCTGTTCCAGTATGGACCGAGAGATATTAAAAAATCACAGAACAATTTTACTCGCTTTCCGTTATCCACGGACCAATTATCAGCGTCACGCACCTACTTTTCATCAGTCTCGAGCTTATTTAGTCAAGAATTCAGTTACTGGGAATGATCTCGATTCGTTTTCATCGCCTTGGTCACGATCGCACACACAGTCAGGTTGCCATGACCTTCATTTCACCATATTTCTCAGATCTGAGCGCCAGTGTTTAGCCGCCATTACAAAGTCGATGGATGGTGAAACAACAAAATATAGACAGTTTTCAGATAAATATAATTTCTTGCTAAGTAGAAATAAAGCAACCCCCTACCGTCAGATTCAAGTGTCAGCGGTGGGATACTATTAACTAACTGCTGGGACTTATCTAATTCCTCGTGTTTCCACCCGCCGATGCAGCTGAACCCAGTGGCATAGCATGGGGTGGGGGGCGGGGTGGCCCGCCCCGGGCGGTATGTGATATGAGACGGCATTTTTAGTACGGTCGATTTTTCGATACCGAATATAAATAGCAAAATATCCAGATAAGTTGAAGGTTGAATATTTTAATGCTATTCTGTATGATCAACAACACCTTTGCGCCATGTATTTACCTTCGCAAAATTTCTTCCCAGCAATCTCTTGTCCCATTGTGGTCACTTACACCACATTTACCGTTGTGTTCCAAAAGAGCATCCATTTCATCGAAAACTATGTGCACTCTACCCTGATCCGATTGTGTGTGCCTCACACGCCTATTCCGCCTTCACTCAGGCGAACGTTTTGCCACCGTCCCTGGCGGCAAAATTAGTTGCTACGCCACTGGCTAGTCTGATGGCTACCTTCCAGGAAGACGACGAACTTTAGCGTGATTCGCACATCCAATCGAATTCTCCGTGTTTCCCTGTCTCTCTGGGATCCACACTTGGACTTCATCCAACAACGTGCGTTTTGCTGCTAATTTCATGTATCAGGCCCTCCGGTTATGCTTATTGTTAATTGCATAAATTTCCACCGCGCATATTACCACGCGTCAAGTGACGAATGTTGGTGAATAAATAAATAATAAAAATGTTTATTCTCGTGCGGTTGAGACACGTTATGAAATGGCATAATCAGTAATTTGACAAATGGACAGCAACATAAATCAATAAATCTTGCAGTACTTACAACAACTACTTCACAGTACTACTCTGGTTTACTGCAGCACAAATGTCAAGTGTTCAGCGCGAAATGAAAACATCCTAGTGCCTTACAAGTATAGAAAGTAACAAAAGCTTGGCAATGGTGCAATTGTAGGTGAATTATGTATCAGGATATGTGCGTACTAAGGTGCGTTGCTTAATACGAAGCGTAAAGAATAACAAGTGTTTTTTGCTGTTTGCTACCTAAGTGTTTACACAAGATTTGAAAGGCAAATGACATAACTGCCAAAGCATGGGATGTAACAGCACTCCAGAATCGCTGCTAGTTTGCGAAAAGAAAATCCGGTACTGTACAGAATCATCGAGTATGTCGGAGTTGAAGACCATCAGTCGAGAAATACCTTGTTAATTATGTATGTGGGACCCAGTTGCTTTGATCACGTAAAGTCCACAATATTCTTTCACGAAACCATCCATTAGGTCATAACATAGCTTTCCTTTTGGCGACCGTGTCACCATGTCTAGTGAGGTAAATGAATTCCACCGCATCGCCTTCCGTCGCACCATGCGTCTGATTGACAAATATCACTGTTTTGGTGTACCTTCCTCACCAAATAGATTCTTATTCATCTCAATTTAACTTTTTGCTAGGCGTAACTCTCCTTATGGTGGTTTAGTAGATCCTTATCCGGATTTTTAATGCACTCCTCTTTTAACCAGTCATACCTTCGACTGCGTCAGAAACCGTTAGGAAAACCTTGAAGTGTGCAGATTCGACTTTGTTTCCGGAAAAACAATCGTCTGATCCCTCTGTAGCGTTGAACCGACTCCTTCTCTGGTTTCATAAGACCATGAGGCAACTTGTCCGACGTATGCAAAGGTGGGCTGCTTCATCTGTGCAAGATATCACCACTTCGCGTGCCAATTCGACCTGGCGAACCAATCCTGGGCCCCTCGATACTCTTTCCTCAGTGCCGAGTAGGTCCCGTGTTCACCAATCCATGGATTTATCCTTCCTGTCCAATATCACACCCAAACCTCCGACACGTTTAGCTCGTCGGCGGACTTCACGAGGATCCCAGCGTCAGATTGAACGGCTACGGGAATCGCGCCCCATGGTAGAAGTGAGTTACTGGTCCGATGCTAACTCGACCCCGGACTCTTCATCGTCTTCCCGCACTATGTCCCCGTACCGACAGCCGCCGAAGACGAAAGTAAGTGGTACCTTTGTCTTGTGTTACTCTTTTCTCCAGGAACCTCGAAGTGCTACTTACTCATTATTCATGCATTCCTTTATTTTGGCCATACTGTCTGTCCTCTATACCTCTTAGAATTGGTCAGACAAGGTAGTTCCCTTCCTGACTTTGGATTTCATTAATTATTGGGTGTCATCTGGTTTGTTTTGGCTTCTCACTTGGAATACCTCCTTCAAGAAGGAACATGTCTTTCTATGTGGACCTAATGCATAGAGTTATCAGCTAGTTTAGGAACATGCTGAATGCGTGGCTCTCGTGGGGCACTCATCATGCTCTGATACCGTATCCGATGAACCACATTCCACGGACGGCTCGTCTGTCACTGGTAGCACTTATACTTTTTCCTTTCTAGTTACTTGCCTTTTGTACTTTTTTGATTTCGTCCAAGTTCAGCAGTTTTTTGTACTGATCAAATCGCTGTTTCCCATTTTCCACATGCCTCTCCTACGTGTGAGTTTAGGGAGGTATTGAAGGGCAAGTATCTTCCGATTTTCAATGTCCGCCATCGTCATCCACTTTAGGTTTCTGCTAAATATGCGTCATGCATGATTTAAACAGGCAGCCCGGCTATAAGACGACAGCGAAGGCGCCACTGTCCCCGCTCGTGAACCCTACCTGCGATATTTCATGCCAAGTACAGATCAGGCAAGTGAGGTAGACCAACTGCTTTAGTTTAGTGGCCGTCAGCTTTATTTCCACTGTCAGGGTTAACAAACCAAAGCCATCCTCAGTAAGTGGTAAACTCGTGTGTGTAATACGTCCTCCCATCCGGCGCAGTTGTTTCTGTCTTGTTTGTGGATTTAGCGAACCAACCTGAGCATGGTACTCAAGTGCCCACCCCGTCGTTGCTGGTACCCCAATGTTGACGGGCACCAGTGCCATTGATAAATAATCACGTTCAGTAAGTTGGTGTCAGAGGCTAAATTTCATCACTGCGGAAGTGAGCGTCGCACCATTATCTCCTGTGCACATCATTCAAAGCCGAGCGCGATCTTTTTCTATTGTCACAGATTTCGACGATTCTATGCTTCACAATACATGAGCTAACATTAGTATTAACACTTCTGTCGCTGCTGACTAGGCTGCCGAAATTGGTGAATTGACCAATCATCTCCAGTTCTCCTTCATCAAAAGTCAAAAGGCTAGCAAGTGACTGATGATCAAGCCAATACCGTGTTTTATGAGCGTAACTGTCAAGCCAAAAATTAGATTCTCCTGAATCGTCTGTCACTGGACGTCACCTCGAGACTGTTAAACAGAAGATCCTTGTCATCTGCGTACTCTTTCTGAACCGGACAGGATGTCCATCCCTGTATCATGGTACCTCACGGGGAATAGCCGATGGGGTCCACGAAAGGTCGGAAAGACGTCCTGCAATTTGCAATACGTCTTAACGCATTCAACTACATGACACTTAAGGATCTCACCAACTAATTGACAATTGTATCGAAATTTGCTGTCGGTAGGTTCGGGTACAGACGCTTGTCTTCTCTTGTGTGTCTTCAAAATTTAGCTTCTTTTTGGAACATGTTGCTGCAAATTTCAAAATTAAGTCCAACTAAACCTTATACACCTAAGCGGGTGCATTTTCGACATTTTGCACTATTACTGTTACTATACCAAACCATGTCATCAACGAAAGAAGGCAAAATTGACTAGCAAAACGAAGAGTGAGTCACTTTCAGTCACGCAGCATGAGCACATAAGTGTGTTTTTAAACTGCCAAGTACAACTTGCTGATATCGTAAAGGCATTGGCAGTACGTCAACACTGACTCTTCGCTGCTACGCAACCCTAATTCTCACGAGGCTGGGTTTACTGCGAGGTCTCACGCACTTAGGCGGATTCGAACTGGTGACGTCTGGATGACAACGCAGTCGCGTGATCCCTTCGGCCATCATCGGGTATTGTACCAGTTTGGATAGTATGTATTTCTATCGTAGGTTGCATCTACGCCTTTTCTTGACCAACTCCAGTAGCTAAGATTGCTTTACGGATTATTCCTCAAATAGTTAAATGGAAGTAAAACTCCAAAAACGTGCTTGTCTTGAGGAAGTTTTAAGTGGTAGTAATACAGCTAACACATGCTAAAACATTGTATATTCTTGTGTGCTACTGCGAAGAGTAAACTGTGCTTGAACTTCAGTAAACCATATGGGTGAGTCATGGCGCGAAATGGCGGTAGACTCACAGAAATGTTTGTTAGTGAAGTGTGCGAATTCAGCCTGGTGTTATGCAACAGCCATAGGATTAGGCGAAAAATAAAAATAGTCAGAATAGTACAGTGTGTCAAGTCGGAGTCACCAATTATTAGTGCCGCTTATATCAAGACGTTGCATAACCAGAAGGCGACACCAATCAATAATAATGTTGTACAGGTATTATTGATATCAATTTATATGCGTGTATGGTTGCTGGGAGTCCAATAGCGCCTGCGGTGCGGTTTCGACGATGGTTGCGTCGGACCTTGAGCACTTGAACATAATCGTACACGTCCGTTGTCCGCTCGTTCTATATGTGTGTGTTTCATTTTGATGTCTCAATTATATGCGCTATGAGTGGGTGTGAGGTAAACATTCTCAAACCCATGCTTGTCACGTGTTTTGACGCGCCGGCATGGTAATGGCTTGAGGTTAAAATGTTCTGACGTCGGAGTGTTTATCACGTGGCGTAGACCACGTGGTGTGCTGGGCTTTAGGCTTTAGCGTTAGATTAAGTGAAAGTACAACCAAAAACGAATGTCTTTTTAAGTGGACCTAACAGTACAATCCCATCGCCCATGCTGTTTAGGTTCTAGACTCGGGTCACCATAGAAGCAACTGACGGGGTGATTCAGTCTGAAACAATTGAGGCAAAGGGGTCGTTGGATAGGGATCATGTCAGCTGAGATCGAGCGAAAGAACGCTTATTACACAGTTGCGTTATATTGGATCCTGTCGCTAACCATTAACCTCAATTTCCCAAAACTCTCGTGCAGAACGGCGACATGGTTTAACCTGCTCTTCCTCTCCATACTTTCTCATCACTTCCCTTCCTGACCGCCCCCAAGCAGCCGCGTTATTAGCATTCCACTTACATCTGAGTTGACCGCAACCGGGTTTGTTAATGTTCTACACCAGCGAGTCTGTAGCCAAGCACCACTTATCAAATCAGGCCTTATTCATCCTCTTCCGTCATCGGTTATGCAGGTTACCTTGGTGGTTTCGGATTTGCTGTGGCCGTGTTTGTAACCGGACAGTAACACTGCTCATACCCAGCTTTCCTTGCTCCCTGATTTCTTGCTGTCTCCATTGATGGAGGGAAGCTTAGGGCAGCCATATGAATTTAATCACCCAGTAACTAAATACTTTAAATACCCAGGGGAACACACGACATGTAAGGAACCAACTGGCTCAGCGACTTTCAGTGTGCCTTGCTTTTCAGTGTGGCGCTGAATTGTACTGGGTGATCTCAATGGCAACTGGGGGTCTTGTTAAATTGTCCCATAAATCTCTCAGCTATTTGGGTTCCATTCATCCGGATTCAGCCTTTCTCTAGGTGAGGAATCTGTTGACAGTTGCTAAATGACCCGTTGGGCTGTGGGAACAAGTTAAATAATAAAACCTATGCCCTGTCTATTGCACTCCATGACCGTTGGTATCAGTGGCACCATACTGGGGCCGATGTCCGATAGTGCACCCGTTGGTGTACGCCTCTCTAAGAGACAGAGCAGTCGTTCGTTGTTCTCCTTCATTCCCTCACGAAACGAACGTGTTTCGGATTTAAATATTATGATGTATCGAAATAAAAGCCACTCGCATCAACAAGCGTTGCCAACAGAAAACAAGTTTGTTTCTCCCTGGTGAATAGAATTTCTTCTGGAGTCTATGAACTCGTCGAATGCGGTTTCAGAATCTCCTTGGGTTTTAAAATATTTCCCTTGGAGGTGGTTATCCAGGTGATTGAAAAGTGGTAATAGGTAGGCGAAAAATCAGGGATGTGTGGTGGGTAACGCAAGGTTTCATAGCCAGTTGTGTACTACGTGCAGCTGATCGTTATCATGCCGCAGCATTGGTCCCTTTTTGTTGGCCAATGCCGTCACATGTGTTGAAGTTTTCGTTACATTTCAGCAATTTGTTAACAATACTTCTCTGCTGTAATGGTTTCCTCTGGATTCAGAAAGATGTGACGGATCAGGCCAGCCGCAGGCCACCGAACAGTTACCATACGCATTTTTGGATAAAATTTCGGCTTTGGGAAGCGTTTTGGGGCTTGATCGTGGTCCAACGTCGTTGATTCTGATAATGGACCCGTATATTTTACCGTACGTCACATTGCGGTCCAGAAACGGGTCGTTTATTGCGCAGAACAATGACGCACTAAACTAAAAAACTACGATTTTTTTGCTCTTCATTCACTTCGTCTGTTACCCACTTATTACGCTTTTTCGACGTTCCTTCAGTTGCCTTAAACTTGTCGCGTACGATACTACTAAATCAGAAGCGAAATCGGACTCGCTTCAACAAAGCCCCCTACTTTCTCTTTCTGCACTTCTGATAGCCGTCCGCAACCCTCATCCTGAAAGCTCTCCTCGCCTTTTTGTAATTACGATTGTGCTGTACGATCATTAGTGATTTCGGGACCAAATATACGGTTTATATCGCGAACTGTTTTCGCTATTTTTCGACCAAGTTTACATTTGAACCACGAAAAGGAAATTGTTAGAATTTATTTTCTGTTCATGTTGTATTACACGTTCTGCACTAATGTGCAAATGTGTTTTTGAGCCAAATGACCACTATTTATAGATGGGAAAAAACCCACTTCGAAACGATACAGACAATTTATTCCAAAATATCAAAAGCCGCAGTAACTTTACAACAGGCTGACATTTTCGCTGCCATTGTTGCTCAATATTGACCTGTTTTTTTAACTGTTTTCAGCTCGACAAGTGCGTGTACAATTATGGTGATGGTGCCCGCCTGCTTGCCCGCGTCCGCTCCCTGGACTTATCCGCGTGTCACACCGAAGAGGCTACCGCATCTGAACAAGAATCAAACCTCCAGCTGCTGAGTCACATCATCCTCAAGGTATTTTTCTGTTTGGCATTTTGTCTAACTCAGCTACACGCATTCGCCTCCTAGGCCGAAGTATGTATTCCACCTTCAAACCTCTTTCACAACTAACTTTGAAACTAATTCAAGCAAATAAGTAAATGGTATACTTACGACAGTGCGTCACGTACTCTAACTCACTGGGTCATCTGATCAATTTTATACAGCGGTACCGCATTACTTCGACAAGTGTTCGAGTTGCTTGAGGCATTTCACAAATGAAGCTTTAATTGACAGTGATAATAAATGCTGATGCAGGCAAGCAATTAACGGAAGCGACGCGGACATCCGTAGAACTTGAATCTTGGGCTTTTGTTTCTACACGGTATTCAATAGCCTTCCCAACTAAATACATTTACGATTCTTTTACGACAATCCACCGCCTTTTTGGGCAACGTTCATGCTGCGATCGGAGCATTATCTTTAGGTTGCTTCAGCAAGTCTATTCGACGTGTTGCACTCTACTGTCGTACTTATGTGGACTGGCTAAAACTAAGAACAGCGTGCGATGACTAACTTTATCATCGGACCAATACACCCCCCGTGACACTTGTTGTAGCAGTTCGAAATTTATGGTTGGGTTTTGCTTTACTAGCCGTCTGTCCTGGGTTTCAACGCGCGATCTCGATTGTGGCCTCTGTTTGCTTTGAGGCAAACCTCTGCCATTTCAATCCTTTGGGCCGCGCCCGAAGTAGAGAGTTCCGGAGCTGAACTCTACGACCGACCGCTTTTGTCTTGATTTTGACTCATTAGGCAGAGATAACCTGAACTGAATATGGAACCGGACATGGTGCTTTATGAATGACGCCTTGGTCACTAAGCCAAAGCTCCTCGAAAAGCGCTTGACACAGCAGTTAGAGATTGATTGTTGGATTTTGGGGTCTGCGCCGTCTGCCTGGCCTGCGACAGACAACCTCGTTTGGGATCACGGTTTTCCTCGAAATAAACCTATGTTATTTCCATTACTTGATCGCATCCGAAGTGAATTAGTTAAGTGTTAGCTGTTGCTGTCCCATCGTTGCAGTCAACGTCTCTTTATTTAAAGAATGAGACCGAGCACGGCTGATATCTTCATCACTAGGTCAGTGAACTGTGCAGTTTGCTGTTTTTCTGCTGCCTGTTGCTTTCATCTTGCACTATCTTGGTCGCATGAACCGTGGTAACGGTATTCATCACACTTTGGTATCAGGGTCAGGTTATACTGCTTGAATTGTTCCTTTAACACCACCAGTGTGTGACATTCCATGTGTCGATTCTCTCAATGGATGTAAAGCAACGCTAAGCTTTCACGCAGAAATTTGAAAGCACTCGGCTGAGGTATTTGTTGGGTAACGTTTCGGTTTCATTGCAACAGTTTCGTCCTGACATGTGAATCGGTGCACAGCTGGAGCGTTATTTTACAACGGACGAGGAAGGTAAGGGCGATAACAGACTTAAGTCAACGGATCATTGCGGACAAACGTAGCAATCACGTTTACTTTTCAAGTGTCGACAGCTGGTCTCCAACGTGCCACTGTCTAGGTGCCTCCACCTTCGCGACATTAAGACTAGGCGGGTAGTTAAAAGGCGCGACAATGGAATCTATCTCAGACTTGCTGCTGCATCTGGAAAAAACACGAACTAAAGTCCATATGATCTTATTTGCTTTATCATTAAACAATATGTGTGCGCCACCGTTCTCCGATCGATTCGGACAGCGTCTGGCTTAATTATGATGCTCGTTTTATTGGGTTTTCCTGGCTTATCTGTTAAAACATATACTTCTTCCTATTTTTTATTTGTGTCTTAACCATGGTGACGCTTTCTCTCCTCCGGCTTCATGCATCTGCATAATGGTGGTCACACAATCTTGGCTTATCTATACAGTTCTCGAATCCTTTTTTCGATGGAGACCTCTTATCCCACTTTCTCTGCCTGGCCTCTCATTCACTTCGTTAGCCTCACACATAGAACTGAATTCGCAGCCTAGTGTTCGCAACACCCGTATCTATCTAGTGGTATGTCATGGGGTGCACACATTGACCTATGCCTTAGTGGTACTTGCTATCGAGAATAGAACGTTGTGGACTTGACCATGGGTCCATTATTTTGGCTTTTCATCAACCTGGGTTGTATCAATTACACATGACTCTTTCACCCCTTGGTCCCACTAGTCTCCACCATCCATTCGCGCGACAGTTTTGGCATTACTTTTTGTTGTCGGGAAACCGTTTTACGGCAGCTGTACGATCCTCCAGTTGAGGCTTAACCCATGTTCTACTTTGACATTCCTATGAGGAGCCGTTCAGTCATGAAGCATGCTTTTAAACCACTCATCAGCATCCGTCTAATGTGATCAAACCTCACCACTGCTTCACCATCAGTTTTTCCGCCCAATGGCTTCGATTTGGCGCTGTGACAAATGCCCAGTTTTCATGTAGCCACAACGAAAGTTATCGCACCGTTCTCAACATCTGTTGCCCCTTATTTTTTCATTACCAATGTCTCATGATTCGATCTTTCTTTGAGTCCGTTTCTTGCTTCCACGAGCTAGTCATTCAATGCGCCTAATCGAATGCTGGCAGTCTTATTTTTCTCCCTCTTATTTTTGGCTCTGGGACCTGCTGTTACACAATCAGCACCGGTCGCGCGTGTGATATTGTCTCATAGTCCGCTAACCTGTTCAATAGGGGCCTAGTAGTAATAGGCTGATTATGACGCGGGGCAGCGGAAGCCGTAAGGAAACTATCTCTCCAACATCTTTCCCTTCACACATTGTGGTTTTGCCTAGATGCAGACCATTTGTTTTTGAATATTTAATTAGGTTGTTTACTCTTTACACCATGTACCTCTCCCTTTCTCATTATTCCACATCAGTAGAGTCTTTGACTTGGTGTGACAGCAATGTTTCCGTATTTGTATTGAACTGTGACTGTTTTCTTATCTCTTCGATTCATCTGGAATTCGTCATACCTTTGTCTACCAGACTTACATTTACAGGCCTTTTGATACCCTGTTTAAACGCGATTAAGATGAGAAATGGGGTCTCAACATTTCTGAAGGCCCTATGAACATCCAGTTAATGTTCCCTATTTGGTTTTGGAGTACCCACCAGGTGTTTCATTTTCATTTTGAAGTGGCACCACGTGAGATTATGTGTTGCAATCCAGACGCACGGTGGGAAACCGAAATTCCCACAGTAAACTTCTAGCCGCCCTGTCAACGCTGCGCTCTATAGTCTAGTGATCACTGCGTTAGCCGTCAACCACTATGTGCCTGGTTCAGACTATCTCTGCCTGATGTGTCAAAATCAGAACGAAACCGGTCGTGCAATGCGGTGTTAAGGGAGGAGAGCTCCGAAACTCTCCGCACTTCTCATGTGGACGAAATCGTTTCTGAAGTATTGGTGTGAATGACACGGAAAACGCTTACAGTGCTTGAGCCCATCGTTTCACGCGCACAACAAATTTCTCAACCACAATTAATGCTGGTGAATTTCGGTCATGGTCTGACTTTATGATAACATTCAACACAGTCTTTTGTTTGCCTAGCATATTTTTATAGAGAGGTGGTTATTGTGTGCTAGTTTTTGTTCGTCTCATTCGAATCGATTTACTTACTTCCACTTCTTAACTATCCCATTCAGTTCTACCTCTATTGACAGTATGTTATCGCTTTTTCACCGGCATTTGTTGTTCTCTGCCTAACCGGTTCCGCGTTCTCTCCCCCATATCAGTTGAACGAGCTTCACGAACTTGTGACCAAACAGCGTATTATGTGGAAATTATCGACCAGCAACGAAGCTAATTAACATTTCGCAGGACACGAGGTGTATGCTCCTTGCCCTCTTCACCTTGCACGCGTTTCTACTTGAGTGTCCGCCTGTGATCAATCATTTCGTTTACCTGGCCTTTACCACCCCATTTACATGTAAACAAGCTATTTTCTTATTGTTTTTCTTGAATTGTTTACTTTTTTACTTTTGCATTATCTTTGAGTAACTTATTGACTGATCAAGATAACCTGGATTCTCACGCTGTGTTGTTACAAATCTTCCATGAGGTTCATCCTGGATGCGCTCGTTCATATTACATGAAGGTGATGAGTTTCCCCATCTCCCCCGGTTACACCTTCCGTGCAACCACTTCTCCTCCTCTGACTCCCTTGCTTTGCCATCATGTGCGAATGGTGTTTTGGAATCTTGTGTGCGTTGTTTAATTACGACCAATTTCAGGAGGGTCTTATGAGCAGATATCCTTTAGAGTACACATGGTTATTTTTAATTGAACCTTAGGTACTCCTCTTGGTGAGGATTTCGAAGCGATAGCTTTCGGTTTCACGTTAAATCAGGCAACTTCACTGGCGTACACACTAAATTCGACTGCTGGGCTGCCTTTCCGAATGTGCTATATATATATATATATATATATATATATATATATATATATATATATATATATATATATTACTCCGTATGCATTTGACGCGGATATCGAAAAAGCTATTATATGGTCAGCTGAGTGTGGGGAAGTGGCATGTGGGGAAACCGAAGCTTCGTTACCAGTACATGATCAAAATGAGCCTCTCACGTTCTGATGTTGATTGCAGGTTATGGGAATCGAAAGCGGTTGATCGCCGTGCATGGCGCGATCTGACGACGAAAGCAGTTGTCCAGGTTCAGGAGCTTTGGGTGGTGCAGCGCAAGCCACCCATAGTCCCTCTGTAGGCACAGACGTTCTGTGGCTGGCCACAGTGACAGCCAAATGGGAAACCGGATGCTACCAACCATATATTGCTACTGTTGTGCCCTGCGCTCATGTCCTGCACGCCTCCTCGTGGCGACCGCTGGGTAGGAGTTGGGTTACGCTCCTCTCTTAGCTAAGAGACAGGATACCAATCCGCATGAGCGAGTGAACTGACAATATGCTAGACCCGTTGCCTTTGGGGTATACATTTAATCGAGGGCTTTGGCTGAGGACCCGAATCGTTCTCCTGTCACATGTGGGTGCTCTGCCAGTAACCCAGTCAAACCCCATCTTCTTCGGAGGTTTGGATGTGATCGATGGCCCTCTTCCCTTAAATCCTAGCCATGGGAGACAACAGGTCTACGGGTTATAAGCTCACAGCTCGATTGGCGTAGAGAACGAGCGCCACGCATTGACTCTGATGGTGGGAAGGCACCTCCGGTACTCATTGATTTGCTACTGCCCGCCTCAAGGCAGCCCCTTGTCAAATTGGTACAAACCCGCCATAATTCTCTTGTGTCTGGATGTGTTCGCAAGTACCTATCTTACTACGGTCGCAACACGCAAATGAACTTTTCCAGAACTTCAAATGTTGCGTGTGATAGACCTTAAGCAGATCCCAATCTGTCTCTGCAATCACATTCCCAAGCTGGATCTGCTTCCCATTGTCTTTTGGGTTAGGCTATGGAGTCAAATGCTCCTGCTGTAGTCCCTCAAGCAAACCTCCGGAGCACAACCACCACCACGCGCGCGATTGCTCACCAATGCTATCGTATGCCTGCGCGCAAAGCACTCAGCATCGGGTGGTGCAACGTGTGCACAATACTGGACCGGAACCCAAGTGAGCGTCCAGAGGGATGCAGTGCACTGGTCGCGATGGAACCGGCGCGCTACAACATCGATATTGCGGCGCTCAGTGAAACCTGGCTTGCTGAGCAAGGTAAGTTGCATGAAGCAGGTGCTGGCTACACATTCTACTGGGTGAGCAAAGCCGTCACAGCACCACGTGATCATGGGGTCGGATTTGCAATATCCGATCGCCTCCATGGCCAGCTTATGGGTGAGCCGACGCATCAGCGCACGACTCACGTCTGCTCGCCTGCGAATCGGAAGAGGTAAGTTTGCCACGTTGTGTTATCATGATGATATGCGTGATCAATGCATCCACGTTGTCACTGCAAATTAAGCCGGAGATCGGCATGGCGACCTTGTTTTACACTGTTATTCTCCAGTTTGAAGTTGTAGGAGGTTTCCGAAGCATAAAGTGAGCTGTCCTTCTTTTCAGCAACGTTTAGCGAGCCGTTTCGTCAGGAAGAACTAACCCGCATCTGTTTAAACAAAATGCTAAATTTCCTGCCCAGTGGGTCTGATGTAAGAGGTTTAGGTCTTAGCTGCACAACAATTGATTCATGTTATAGCATAATACTCATCCAGGCGTGCTTGACCACATCATGTGCTCTTTCACGCAACAGCACCGTGCTTCCTCGCAATGAACAACAGAAAATAGCGAATTGAAATCTGGAGACAACTCATGACTGGATGATGGAAAAAGCCCGAGTCAACATGAGGAAACCGTCCGCAGACTTTCCAGACGGTTTGATGTTGAAGTAAGAAGATCACCACCGTGCGATCGCATGTGACTCTGGGGAGAAGGAACTCCTGTCGAAGTGGAAGGGGCTGTGTGACGTAATCGATCGACAGGAAGATAGGCGGTGCGTTCAGGCCAGCGAATTGAGGAGGTGGTATGAACCAGGTGAAGAAACTACGGCATGCATGCAGTGGCCTTGAAGGTCAGAGAGACTGCGTGAGAGGTCGACTGTCCGGAAACTTTGGAGGGGGGAATGTGGTGCATTATGCGTACTATGGGTAGAAACCAGTAGGCACAAGGCAATCAGAGGAAGCATAAGTCGCTACGGACGAGGGGCGTATGGTGCACAAGTCAATCTCCACTGATACGTTGTGAATGAAAGGACGCAACGGAATAGAGAGCAGAAGGGCACCACAAACGAAGTGCTTATATGCACCCGAGTTCCTATCTTCGAAGTACTATGATATCTAGACATGGATTCGCTGGTCCCTAACTCGTCAACACCACGTTGCGTTCTCTTTAAGGTTACTGTAGAAAGTGCGGACGATGGATGACCGACATCCAGCACAAACTAGACAGTAAAGGTTTTTACATGCACAGTTATAGTCACAAAGTTTTTTTAAAAAACTTTACCAACCCTGGGGAACGTGTTGGGTGGCGACTGGGATACTAGTCGGTTATCATTGACACGTAAGAGAAGTGTCAAATAGGGGACAGTATAGAAGTTGGGGTGACTGAACCCAACGTGCATTGTGCAGGCTGCAAAAAGAGGAAGCGAATGAAACAAAGCGAGAAACGGTGCAGCAAGCTACTCACCAAAACAATTTGTGTCAACAGAAGTTCCGTGAGTAAAATAAATGGGTGTTTTTTAAAGGTTACAACAACCGTAAAATCCAATGTTGCAAAACACTGAATGAACCTGTTTTCCGGTACACTACAAAGGCCTCCCCCTAGAAGGCTGAAGGATGGAAGCCTTCGATGGAGCTGTTAGTGGAGGAAAACGGAAGGTGAGGATGGGTGCGAATAGTTGCATGGGCTTGAACAAGGGCTTCCAAGATGGGGTGTGTGGCAGAGTTCGCTGGGTCCAGGCTTTTGTTATTAATTATTTATGATGATCGTGTGGACCAGAGTGCATCATCGGTGGGCAGTCGGGGCGGGCTGGTCGGACTGCAAAAAATCTGGCTAGTCCAGAAAAAGGCCGACAGGACATTCCCTTTGCTGCAGACCCGACGGTGCGCTTGGGAGGTGTCACTCCCCCACCGCACTCCAGTCCACAGTCCTCGTCCCACGAAGAAATCCGGCGTCCTCGTCAGCAACGCCTAGCTAGGCGTTTAATGACCAACCCGTTCGTGGCTGTCTGCGGCCGAGGGCGACTGACTGTTCTTTGGGTCAGGAAGGAGGCCTTGGGTCGGCTGGCGAGTCACTCGGGGGTTGCCTTGGCAGTTCCGGCGGTTGAGTTTCTGGAAGGTAGAACTCAGAGGTGGTAACCAAGTGTCGGGGGAAGTGGCTTGACGCCGGAAAGGGAACGTAGCATGCGTGATAAAAGCAAATACGCCTTTTGTTTTCAAAATGTTTTGGGTTTTTTTGTCGATTTTGCAAAACGTTTGTGGATGAGACGCACGATTACCACTAAAGATGAAAAAGGCGTGTTAATGGAAATAGCAAACTTCTACAAAATCTGAAAAACGGACCGGACGTTTGGCCTATCTACCGCGTCGGTCGGTTGCCTGCGGTTGAGGCGAGGTAGGTTTAGGCTCAAAGGGAACGGAGGGTTTCGGGATGTCCTGTGGTCGGGAAGTCACCGCAGGTGCGGGTGCTTGTGTGATAGCATCAGAATGGCTCACAAGTGGTTCGTCAAAGAAAGCCACTTTGAGGCGGTCGATGGGCACCGTTGTTTGGTGACCATTCTGGCCTAAAGTGACACTTTCCATGGTCCGTTGCAGGACTCTGAGAGGGCCAGTGTAGGGAGGCTGGAGAGTGCGCAGCACTGCGTCGGTGCGGAGGACGACGTGAGTGCAGAGTGTCCGCTGTACATTTGCACCTCTCTAGTCTGCTCATGGGGCGGAGTCGAGCGTATTGAATGCATGTGTTGAGCTAGGGAAGACGCAAAGTTAGGCGGAGGCATACCCGAGGATGCGGGAGTTGAAACGAATTCTCCTGGCAACTTAAGCGTTATGCCGTAAATCAGCTCAGTTGCTACACATTGTAAATCAGCTTTGATGCTGCTGCGAATGCTTAAGAGTACGAGCGAAAGGTTATAGCTCCAGCTAGGGTCGGAGTGGGCGCAGAGCAAGGCTTTTAGCTATCTATGGAAGCGTTCAACCGAACCATGGGCTGCTGGGTGATACGCTGTGATATGAATGCGGCGACAGCCTAAAAGTTGCAGAACGGATCGAATTTTAAATATTCGAAAGGTGTTCCTCGTTCAGTTGTAATGGTGACTAGGCATCCGTAGTGCGAGACCCACCGGTCCAAGAAGGCCCGGATAACAGTCTCAGCTGTGCAGTCTGTTACGGGAATGGCTTCTGGCCATCTGGTGAAGCGGTCGACACATGGAAGAATGTATACGAATCCGCGTGAAGGAGGCAAGGGACCTACCAGGTCTAAGTGTACATGCGAGAGTCCGGGGCAGGAAATGAACCAAGAGGACTGCGGGTGTGACGATGTATTTTGGAGCGCTGGCATTGAAATCGGGCGCGAGTCCAGGTACGAATATCTTTGTTAACGCGTGGCCAAACGAAACGTTCGGTGACCAGTTTCAAAGATGCACGGATACCGGGATGTGATAGTGAGTGCTGTGCGTCTGAAGAA